ATTAAAGGCAGAATTGTTTTTTTAAGGCAGAATTTTTAAAACTCTCCATTGATGGTCTTATCTTTCCATTCCATAGTTCAAATAGCAGGCTGAACCTATGAAATGAAAATGTTTAAACAAGCCTGAGTAATCTTTATTCATAATAAAAAAATGACAATTTAAAGTTTTCTATATATAATCAGATGTGCATATTTTATAGTTAACTCCCCTTTTAGTACAGTATTAGAAATGTTGCTATGAAGTACAGAACACACCTATTTTCAGCCAGCATTGACAAGGACTTCATCCTCCCAATAATTATCACATCTAATAACACTACCTTAGCTACTGATTTATTCTGGAAGCTTCTGTATCTTTTAGGCTTGAGAGTTTATAAGACTAAATCTTTACTTTAAAGCCTTGCTGAAAGAGTTAATTCAGCTTCCTGTTCCAGTTCACAACTCTCCTTCTCCCAGCCTTTTCCCTCCACACACACACAATCAAGAGATAGGCCATCAATAAAATTCAAGCTTTTATTATGGGATATGAAGCAATAACATTTTAAATAGCACCTTGGAGGCCTGAAGGAGTTAATACATCTTTCAGCAGTGCCTACTTTACAGCTATGGGGTATTCTGGACCCTGAAAACCTGGATCATTATTTATTAAAAGCAAGAGAAGGGTCCAGTTGGAGGGAAAACCTCATTCACCAAGCAAGGAAGGATATGCTTACAAATGACATTTGAAAATAAGATGACCAGAAACCTTTTGCTACAAACAACAAGGGATATGAACTCCATCCACATCTAATTATATGGTAAAATAAAATATAAGATGGTTCCAGAATCAAGGAGACAGTCATTTTTAAAATTCTGTTTCCTGGATAGAATCCAGTGAGACCATGTATGGATAAATTTAATGTTGTTTAATTCAGAGCAGGAAGGAAAAAAGAATTCTCATTGTACCCACCAACCAGGGTATTTTCCATCACAGTGTTGCTAATTTTCTGGGAACTCTGATACCTTTTTGAGTTTTAGGGATTATTCTATGTGTTAATCAAAGTTCTTCTGTTTAAAAGTATGGCTCATTCTATTTTCTAAAAAGTCCATATTAATATACAGCCCAGCCACATGTCCTTCTCACAATGAGATGGTGACATTCCTTCACTGAGAGGTGGGGTCCCCTGGAACATGGGTGGATCTTGGTACCTGCCTCCACAAATAGGATGAGGTGGTAATAGCACTGCATGACTTCAGGGGCTAGATCAGAAAAGGCGATATGGCATCTGCCTGGCCCTTTCTCCTTGGGACCTGTGCCTTTGAAGCCCTGGGCCTCCAGGTGAAAGTCCATCTACCTTGATGCCACTATGATGAAGAGACCACAGAAGGATACAGAAATTGCCACTTAGCCCCAAATCAGCCAGCCTCGAGCTGCCTGAGTCTTCCCAGCCCAGGTACCAGGCACACATGAGTGAGTTCAGATTGAATTTCAGCCCCTGGCCTTCAAACTGCACTAGTTAAAAGCAAGTTGGAGTGGAAGTAAACCGTCCATGCCAAGCCCCACTTGGCTTGCAAATTTGTAAGCAAAATAAATCTTCTTGTTTTAGGTCACTAAATTTTGGGGTGATATGTTACACGGCCATTGTAGCTGGAATGGCAAGTAACAGAAGCCCTTCAAGCTAATATTATCAAAATAATGGAGATTAGAATATAAAGGTTCAAGAATATCTAATGGTGCCCCAGAAGAGGCAAAACTGGGTCTCGTGTTGGGCTGAACAAAATTAGAAAACCAGCAGGAGCCAATCAGCAACTTTGCTCCAGTGTCATCTTTTTTTCTCCTTCTGTCTTCTTGTCTGGTCTCTTATTTCACAATCTCTCTCTCTCTCTCTCTCTCTCCCTCCCTCTCTCTCCCTCCCTCTCCCTCTCCCTCTCCCTCTCCCTCTCCCNCCAATCAGCAACTTTGCTCCAGTGTCATCTTTTTTTCTCCTTCTGTCTTCTTGTCTGGTCTCTTATTTCACAATCTCTCTCTCCCTCTCCCTCTCCCTCTCCCTCTCCCCCTCCCTCTCCTCCTCCCCCTCCCCCCTCTCTCTCAACATCTACTTCCCTGTCTCTGAAGTCAGACAGTTTATATGCCCCTGGTTTAAGAGAAGAGCCCACACTAGTGGCACCCTTTATTCCAGTGATAAGTTCCTGGGAGAGACAATCTAATTAGCCGGCCTTGAGTCAGCTTTTGGTCCAGTTACCACAGGGAAGGGCCACATTGTACCAACACGGCTGCTACTCCCACACCCCAACATCCTCTGGGAGTTCTTAGATGGTGGACTCAGAGGTTCCAAACAAAACAATATACCTAATACCATTCATGAATGTTAGAAGGCATTTTGGATGTTTTTATGCACACATAAGACCCTACCATAGACTCCCCTTTAAAGCGCTTGTTATTTTTGTTTACAAATATGCTTAAACATATATTAACCTCTTCCCCCTTCCCATCCCATCTTCATGATGATTTAAAAGGGGCTCCTGGATCTCTACAACAACAAAGGCAGTGGATTCGATTGACGTGACCTCAAGGTAACTGAACTCAATGACTGATCTTTTTTATTTTCATTTATATTTTTTGAGATCTATCTTCTAATGTGAACTTGACTCCTTCCTCTACTCCTTTTAGCAGTTAGGGCCTTTGGGCAACTGGGCCGACTAGAGATCAAAAAGGCGCTCAGGGAAAGTGAGGATTCTTAATGAACTTTAATAATTTTCCCTTTACTAACTAATATATGGTGTCAGACGTCAGGACAGAGACTACTCAGGGGGAGGGAGAGACTGGACAGGGTCTCTTGGGTGCAGGTAATGTTTGTTTCTAGTTCTGGGAGGTGGATGCATGAGTTTCTAGTTTGTGAAAGTTCATGAACTTGTCTGTACACATATGATATGTACATTTTTCTGCATGGATGTTAGTCTTCAAACTGTTTCAAAATATTTCACTAATTATTAGACATTGTTCAAACTAGCCTCACTATATGTTGTTGATCAATCTGTGGAAAAAAAAAAATATATATACACTTATATATGATTTAATGATACAAATAATTATCTATCTATCTACCTATCTATATTTATGTTTGTTAGAATGCAAACATTCTTCAGGGTGGTACACAGATATACCTCTTATAGAAAATTAGGTTCCTAAAATACCGAATCTGAGGGGCAGTGGAGTGGTAAATGGCTGGAGTCAAACTGTTCAGGTTCCAGTCCTACCACATGTAGCTTTATGATCTTGGCGAAGTTATTCAAACTCAGCTTCTTTATCTGTAAAACAGAAGTATTAAAAATACTTATGAGGGTAGAGACGGATGAATAGGCAGAGCACAGAGGATTTTTAGGCCACCGAAACTACCGTATTTGCCGGCGTATAAGACGACTTTTTGGCCCTGAAAAATATGCCTCCAAGTGGGGGGTCGTCTTATTCGCCAGGTACACTTCAGATAGACTGCCCATAGTGCTTGCCCCGTGCCATAGTGGCCTCCCGATGCCCGCCCACTTCATTCCACATACCGTTCAGGCATCAGCAGCGCTGCTGGGTGTATGCTCGGCTGTTATGCGATTTTGCTATTATGCGATTTTACCACACTCGCAAAATCGCACACAGCCGACCATATAACAAACTCTGTATTTTGAGTGGAAATGTTAGGGGGTCGTCTTATACGCCCAGTCGTCTTATACGCCGGCAAATACGGTACTCTGTATGATACTATAATGGTGAACACAGGCCATTATACATTTGTCAAAACCCACAGAATGTACAACACCAAGAGTGAACCGTAAGGTAAAGTATGGACTGTGGGTGGTTATGATGTGTCAGTGTAGGTTCATCACTTATAATGAATGTCCCACTCTGGTGATGGATGTTGATAATGGGGAGGCTGTGCATGTGTGGGGGCAGGGGCTATATGGGGAGTCTCTCTGTACTTTCATCTTAGTTTTTCTGTGTACTTAAAAGTGCTCTAAAAAATCAAGTACTTAAAAAAACCCCAAAACTACCTCATAGGCATGTTGTGAAAATTAAAAAGAAATAAGGGCCGGCCGAGTGGCTCAGTTGGTTAAGAGCTCGCTCAAGAGTTTGAGCTCTGAGCAACAGTGGTTCGATTCCCAGCCCGAGCTGAGCAGCCGCTGAGCTGCCAACAGGTAGCAGGATGGCTCAGCTTATAAAAAATTAAAAATTAAAAAGAAATAATGCATATACAGTACCTGGGACAGGGCCTGGCCAGTAGGAAACACTTAATATTAACTGTTGTTATGTTACTAGGCTATCTCAAAATAAAAGGATAAAGCATCTTTCTTTCTACCTTTTACTCTTCCAGCCACTCTAACTCCACAGACCCCACTGCAGTTCAGCACACACTGATTGAACAACCCTTTGTGCCAGGTGCAGGCAGGGCAGATACTTACAGCATATTTCTGGCTGTTCTGAGTCCCCCACTGCAGAAACCTGAACCCTGGGAGGATTCCTAGGCTGGCAGCATTCCCTGAAAGAGGTTCCTTAGTTCATTTCTTCCCTCCTTTGTTGCTGGTGCTGGTCTAAGTTTTTACACATTTCAATCTTGAGCCAGTGTGAACAGGGGTCGACCCTTTGCTGGCTTCCCTAAGAGGAACCTGGGAAGGTGGGGAGCTGGAGCTGACGGAGTTGTTGCTGTGTTTGGTTTCTGCTGTGTGGTGGTGGTGTGTTTTGTCTCGCCGCAGCACCAGTGGATTTTGCCTACACTGAAACACCCTGTGTAATCTTTTGTAGCGCCAGTATTATTTTAAGTAAACATAAGGAGGTGGGACAAAAGAAAATGGCTATTAATCAGAAATCCAGTCCTGCGCAGCACTCTTCACAACGAGGTACCTTTAGAACCATCCAAGCTGAACAGTTGTTTGGAGGCCATTTGTAACCAAGGTGATCTGCCGTGGACAGGAGCAAAAATGATTAGTTACCTCCTTCAGAATTCATGGTCACCATCGTCTCCAGGAACTTTTGTTCTACAGCTCAAATCCACCACTGCAGCAACAGATGCGCTGAGAACCCACTGAAATGAAACTGGTGAGACACGTAAGGGAAATACTGCTTCTAATTAGGCAAGCCTGACACTCTACCAATTGTCAAAAACAGAAATGAAAACAAAAATGAAACCCCAAACCCTGAAGCAGCGTTTTTTCATTCATTTCCTAGTTGCCTTCCTGAAGGAGCAGCTTCCTGAGACCACCTTGATCTATGTTCCTCGTCCCTGTCAGATACACAATTGGGTGCTTGCAAGGCACACAGCTAATGAAGTGGGGAGAAGTGCTGGGGGGAGGAGGGCCCTAACTCAGCAGTGAGCAGTGCAGTCACCACCCCCCTTCCAGTTTAGGTAGCCCCATGCACTACATACAGCCATGGCATGTGAAGGAATCTTACTCACTTGGTTATTTTCAGGCGGGGTCATCACGTACTTAAGGGCATGGGCTCACTGCCAAAATGCTTGGGTTTGAATCCTGGCTCAGCCACTTACCTTGTAGTTTAACCTCTCTGTGCCTCACTTTGCCCATCTGTAAAATAGGAATGATCATAGTATCTATCTCCTAGTTCTGGTGAGATTAAATGAGTTAATACTCGTATCACACTTAAAACAGGGCCTAGCACATTAACCATGCAATAAATGTTGGCTATTATTATTATCACCATGGAATAGTGCCAAATCATAATGACTGTGCAACATCATTGTTGCATACCACGAAACCACCATATAGACAAAAATTAGCCAGTCCTTTTGCTATGTTGCTATGAGATCCAAGATGAAACACTGTGGGCTGACTAAAGTCAGTGATGACAAAAGTGAGGTGCCAGGATTCTATTTTGCCAGTAATTCTACTTCTAGGAATACCTTCTCTGGGAATTTTCAGATACGCAAGGGCAAGGTACAAAGGTGCTCACTGCAGCATTATTTACATGGTGAAAAGCTGGACACAGCCTATGGGCACAATAATCTGAGAAAAATTAAATTAGTGAGGGCATAGCAATACTACCAATATTATGCAGCTATCAAAAGGGATGCTTTTGAAGAATTTTAATAACTAGGAAATGCTATGAAATAAACCTAAGTAGAAAAGTAAGCTTCAAAACTGTGTAGACAACAGGATCACATTTGATATTAATAATAACTATGTATGCACATTTGCAGAGAAAACAAAACTCTAGGGAAATGCATTAAGATGTTAACAGTGGGGTTTCTGAGGGCGGATGGCCTTTATGCATGGTATTTGTTTATTTTTTTATATTTTTTAGTGTCTTCATGTTTTTACACATGAACATAAATTATTTTTGTATTTGGGGAAAACATTAAGTCACGAAACCAAAACATTTGAAAAAGAATCTTTCAGAGGACACACAGGGAACTAACCGGAACTAAACCCATGTTTCCTAAATTAGATTTTTAGCCCCAAACAATGCCATGTGTTACTACCCTTCTACTTACCTTGCTTTGGAAGACAAAACTATGAGAAATCTCTGGTTTGAAAAAAAAAAAGAGAGAGAGTGATGGGTGGGCGCAGTAGGAAGGATGCAAGGGCCTCTTAAGGTGTTAGGATACAATTTGGCATTGACTAATACAACCACTTGTTTTCACAACATTGGGTAAACACATCCTCGGCCCACAGCAAAATGGAAAAGAGCCATCTATCAGCTCTTTTGGAAGAAGTAAAAAAAAAATGCTGTGGGGCTGGCCGAGTGGCGCGTTGGGTAAGAGTTGGCTTGGGACGCTAGCTCTGAGCAGTAGGGCCCCGGTTCAGATCCCACTTGAGGGCCAGTGACACTGCCCTCTGTAGCTAAGATGGTGAACAACAGCTTGACCTGGAGCTGGGCTGCCGTGAGTCACGGGCGACGGTATACGCTGCAGTGGGCTGCCATGAGCTACCGTGAGTGGCTGGCAGCCGAGGTGAGCTGCCGACCAATGGCTGGTGAGTGACTGCCTCACCCAGGAAGAGCACAATGATCACAATATCAACACGGGCCAGTGAAGCGACGTCCTCCACAACTAGGCTGAAGAACAAAAGGAGAGCAACTTGTCTGTTCCCCTTCCCCCAATTCTGCAGTAAAATCTTTTTAAAAAAAAACCTGCCCTGCCCAAGTCTCACTACCAAAAAAAAAATGCTTTGGTGAAAAGGGGAAGGGAAGGAAAGGAAAGGAAAGGAAAGGAAAGGAAAAAGAGAAAAAAGAGAAGAGAAAAGAGAAGAGAAGAAAAAAGAAAAGAAAAGAGAAAAGAAAATCAATACTAATACATTATATACTAATACTAATACTAAAACAGGACATCAGACAAGTCCAAACAGAAAAGCAGCAGAATTCCCGAATTCCAATAGCTCTGCCACAGAATCTTACTAATAAACCTCCTTTTCTGAGTCCTACACCTAAGGAAAGATTACTAAGAAGAGCCCAAATCTGAAAGGGCTTGGAAAACATCAGGGAATGCCACTTTAAATTGCTGGCCACCAAACACCATTCAGACTGGGCTCAGGTATCACCCTCCAGCAGGGGGCCTTCAGCTGTGTGTTCAGGAGGGGAGGGGCCCTTACAGGAGCTGTGCCTTGGCCTCCAGGCAAGATTAATAAAATTAGGATTATTTATGATGCAGGAGTGATTTAATAATATTTTTCAAGAACCTGAAGGATTTATGTAGAGGAACTGCTGTTTTAGTAACTAAATCCTTTTGGATGGACTCCAAGATAAACGAGACTTGTCTGGCTTCCGCCCCGGGCCCCTCCACCTCTTCCAGTTTCTCTTGGCAAATATCTCTTCTACTTACTGGAGGGTGATGGTCAAGGAGATGACCTTCCTGGCCGCTTTATCTACCCTCATCCCTACCTCAAAATCTCTCTCAGCCTCTCCCTTTGTTCCTTCAAATCTCAAAGGAAGAATCCAGAGGATTCCAGAATCCAGAGGGGAGGGAAGGGACATTTATTAAATGCCTTCTACAAGCCAGGAACTGGCAGATACATTACCTTATTTAATCCCCACAAGCACCTTGTGAGGTAGGCATAATGATCCCTGTTTTGTTTGTTAGGGGATAGAGGAAATGTATTCTTTTAGCAGCTGGTAGGAGAATTCCTCCTGGGGACAGAATCATCTTTGTGGGAAAATGCCTTGATCAGCCAGCCTCTGAGGGCTATGGCGGTAAGGGAACTTGTGGAGAATGGGATGGGGAGTGGGGGGTGCTATGGGTTCCACACTCAGAAAGAAGAGACATAGAGGTAAGAAAAGAGCAGGAGGTTTAGAAACAGACTGTGGAGCGCAATATGCCTCATTCTCAGTATAAGTCTTCAAATCTCCAATAAATTGACTAAACTAATGAAATGCTTGCTGAAAGAGAAATTTCTGAATGGGCTTGTTGGCACAGGGTGAAACAGAAGCCCCCTGTGTTTCACCTGAGATGGTGACAGGTGGTACCTCAAGGAAATGAATGTTTCCCACACTTGACATCTGAGTTACATAAAGGATGGGGGGCAGGGGCTAAGGCTCAGAGAAATGAATGAGCTTTACTAAGATCATACAGCAGTGATGCATCTGTGCATCACTAGCAGAGACAGAATGGAACCCAGGGCTGTTTATCTCTGAAGTCCATTGTTTTTACGCTACTCCACACACCGCACTAAGCGAGAGTTCTTTCTCTTTCTCTAAGACCAACTCTCCTGCTTGTATGCTCCACCCAGCCACAGTAATAGTGGTGTCTATTTATTGAGTGCCTACTATATGCCAGCCATTGTTGCATGCATTAGCTCATTGGTCCGTCCAACATCACTATATATTTGAGAGTATAATTTATGATTTTAGAATATGCGAACTGTTGCTTAGAGAAATTAAGAGACTAGCTTAAGATCCTTCTGCTATACGTGGTGAAACCAGCATTTGAACCAGATTGCTGTGATTGCTCATCTCATCCCTTCCTACCTCTTTCAGGGATGATTCCTCTAATTAACCCATTTAATTAACCCCTTCTCTCCCTGCAGCACACTGGGCTGCACCCTGAGATAGGACCTGGTAGGGTCTGTAGAGGTCATGTGACACTGAACACAGAAGATGCTCCGGTGGGCTCCGGTCGCAGTCACTGTCACAGCTGAGGCTAATAGTGTAACTTAGGGGGCTGGCAAACCTTTTCTCTAAGGGGCCAGACAGTAAATGTTTTCGATTTTATGGGCCATATGGTCTCTGATGCCAGCCCCTTAACTCTGCTGTTGTAACGTGAAAGCAAACACAAGCATAAATAAATGAGCACAGCTGTGTTCCAATAAGACCTTATTTATGAACACTGAAATTTTAATTTCATATATTTTTTTCATGTCACAAAATATTATTCTTTTGGTTTCCTCCCAACTATTTAAAAAGGTAAAAAACATTCTTAGTGTGAGCAACACATAAAACCAGAGGCAGGTTGAGTTTGGCCCACAGGTCACAGCTTGCTGACCTGTGGTTTCACTGAGCCCTCCCTCCTTTTGGGGTCTCCATCTAGCTGGGCCTGCGTCAGGCTGAACAGCCTCTGGGCTGGGCTTTGATCCTTCCTTCCTCTGGCCTATAAAACCACACCGATTCAGTTGCTGAGCCCTTGTTCATTGCTCTTTCATTCGAAGCTCTCCTCCAATCCTACAGATTCTCCTGCTGAACCAGAGGAAAAGCAGTTATCTGCTGTCCCCGAAGGAGGCAGCTGTAAAATAAGACAAAAATAACAGGGAACTGCCATCACTTAGATGAGCTGGTGAAGGGAGCTAAGCCCCAGGACAAGTTAAAGAAGCATTGCCCTAAGGCTATGATAGAACTGCTGTCACTTAGATGACCTGGTGAAACTAAACCCCAGGACAGGTTACAGGAATGTCACCCTAAGGCTATGTATGACAAGACTTGAGAATGATATGCTTCAAACACATAGGCTGATCATCCTAGAGGGATATCTCCAGGAAGGTGGTGAAGATAGTACTAAGAATCTGAGTCCAAGGAAAGAACTCTGGAGCCCAAAATGCAAATGCCTTTCTCATCTGGGAGAACGAGGCCAGAGGACAAGAGATGGTAGGACAGGTGAAGGACAGGAATGCAACTCAGCCCAGGGCCAGGGGACAGCTTAGGTCTAGACCCAGAGAGAAGACTAAAATGCAATGACTAAGGAACAACTGGGAATAATAACAACTGCCAACATATTAACCATCTGCTATGTTCCCGGCACTATATGATGGGTTCTTTATACATGTTATCTTATTGAGCGTCTTCAATACTCTGGCAAAACAGGCATTTAAAAAAAAACCCTGTATTTACATATACATATACATATATATTACTCATTGTGCATCTTCTGTGTAGCAGACACTATGCTAAATGCTAAAGGTAGGTAAGTAAGCAAAAACACACCTTGTACCTGATTGCATGAAAATTATTGTCTAGTATAGGAATTGGCAATTTGTAAAGGGACAGATAGTAAATATTTTAGGTTTTATGGGCCATAAAATCTCTGCTACAACTACTCAACTCTGCTACTGTAGTGCAAAAGTAGCCATAGATAACATGTAAA